GAGTGTATTTGAGACTGCAAGGTTGGCACAGGATAGAATGGTGTTTAGGGCTCTTGTACATAGGATCGCTACGAGTCGCAAGCGACTTGGTGGCATATAACAACAACAACAACATACTCAATATGTTGTATGCTCCACCCCCATATATCCTAAATGAATTTTGTGTCTCTCCCACCAGAAGGCACAGCATCCACTCGGGTTGAATACATCACCCAGTTAGTCATGGCCCGGATGAGCCACCGTGCATTACAAATCCTGCTGGTTTTGGACGAAATCTGGGAGAGACTTATAACTGAAACAGGCCTGTCCAGGTAAGCTTCAGGGAGTTCCAGAAATGGCACCCTGATCTCCCTACTGGGTTAGCGGTTTCCTCCCCCAAGTTGGGGAGGGGTTGGGGCTATAAATGATCCCTGGGTGTTTCCTCCATCGCTCATTGGCACTACAGGGCATTGAGTCGCAAAGAGATGAAACCTGCATGGCAGTGCATCTTAACCGCCATCTGACAGTTGTCTAACCCTGGGCACGACACTCCACCATTCACCACCAGTGTCCTTATCTGCAGAGTCTTCTTGGGAGGAAAACAAGATAATGGATGTAAAGAGTTCAGCATGAAAACTATATGTAACATTTGTTCAATTATAGGGTTAGCAGGGAGGGAGCAGACACCAAAGATCTCCTTCTGTGAGGTCAGAGTGAAACAGGACTTCATCCCAATGCTCTCACCTGTGTTCCTGAGCACCTTTTCTGCCCGTTGTACAAACCGTTGTACAAACCCCACAGGATCCCTCTGCTGGTCCTCAGAGAAGCTGGGGCGGAGTAGACGTGAGCGGGGTAGGGTCCTAACTCTGCTCTGCCTGGCTCTGGGGCTCTCAGTAAGTTCCACTGTGTCTCAGGGGACATTGACCAATCTCCGTTCAATGGCAACAGGAATCAGTCTTGCAGGTCTGTGGTGAAGGTTTAGAGTGAGGGACAGGTCACAGCTGGGGAACCAAGTGCAGTTATCTCATCCCAGGAGCCAAGGAGGCCTGGACACAGGAGCAGAGCTGGGGATGAGGGCAGAGCTGGTTGGGGGAGTGACTGGTAGGAAGGCTTGGGGAGCACAGCCAGGGTGGCAGGAGGTCAGATGCCTGAGTCACAGACGTATGGACACACTGGACCTGGTTGGGGACATTGAGTGGGACAAGGACATTCCTCCCTTCCTTGCTTTGAGGACTTCTCCACTATCAATTGACCCTCCTCTGTCTGCAACAGCACAAGTGGCATAGTAGTGAAATACTCAGCTGCTAGCCACAAGGTCTATGGTTTGAAACCACTAACTTTTGAAAGGAGAAAGACTTGGCAGTTTACCTCACAGCCCTTGGAGCACCTTAGGGTGGTTTCTGTCTGTCCTGTAAGGTCATGAGTCATGATCAACACTACGACAGGCTTTAGTTTGCTTTTCCTTATTTACACGGTCCCCGAGTAACAAGGAGGGATCTGCTTTAGTGACAGCTTCCAAAGTAAGAATGGGGGCTGCCATTTTTGTTTGTTGTCTTGTGTTTTTTTTTAATAATTTGAAGGTTTTCTCCCTATGTGTCCTCACAAATCCCCACCAGAGAGGAAAAGGCTTCCTCTGTTGATCTTTTCAGGCTGAATAATTCATTTACATGGTGCCTCAGTCTTTGTTATATTTAAGAGGTTCCATAAGATTATTCATGGCCTTGAATTCCATGCATATCAAGTTATCAGCATCTAAGGTGTCAGATAGGTTGATGGTGATGTCCTGAGGTGGGGCATGTCAGCTGGTGGGTCAAGCATCAGTCTACTTGGGGTGCAGAGCGGGAGTCAGGCTTCCTACTCAGGCTTCCCAGTCAGCTGCGCAGTGTGGCTGCACTCAGTGACCTTCACCAGGATGAATCAGGGCGTCAGGCCTTGGAAGAGAGCAGGTGCCGGCAAAGCTCACACTTCTAGTTCTGAGTTTACTAAGAGTCTATAGAGGTAGATTGTTCAACTCCAGTTCCACTACTGTTTATTCATTGGGGGACTGGCCATTGTGCTAACAATCTGAATAGTGGACAACGGTATCCACTGACCAGGTGCTCTCATTCCTAGTTGGAATAAGGAGATGATCTGCATGAACTCGTCTTGTGATGCAGGAAGAAGATCCCTTTCCTCCCTTGTGGGGAACATAGAACAATAATAGATTTGATCCCATGACATGCGATGCACACGCTCAGCTAAGCTGTTTGTGCATAAGTTAACATGAACTCAGGGCAAGTGCGGAGTGTTGTGTACACAGGTCATTATCTGCTGTGGGTTGTTTGCGTCAAAACGACTTGAAAAGGGAGTCAGCCCATGCTCTCATTTCACCAATATCATGACAAATTCCCTCCTGGTTAGAAGTGCATTCATGGTAAACAGGAAGATGTTAGACTATGTTGTTGTTGTTGTGTGCTATTGAGTTGGAACCAAGCCATAGCTGACCCTCTGGAGGGTTTTCAGAGGCAGTTAATCCCACGGGAGGAGATTGCCCGTCTTTACAGGGAGCAGCTTGTGACCTCAAACTCTGTCCCTTTGGGAAGGATTGCAGCACAGCTTCTTACCTACTGTTTCTTCTCTGTGGTGATAACTCACCCTGACTGAGAAAATACCTTCACCTAAGCAGGAGTGGCATCCACTACCTAAAAAGCATGCCTTTGGAAACTCTATGAACTTTAGTAAATGTCCATAGTTGTAGAGGGGCTTCAAGCTTTTTGTTCATAGAGTCGCTATGAGTTGTGCTCCACTCGAAGGCAATCAACACCACCGCCCCCAGCATGAGAGATCCTCTGAAGATGAGTTTGGTTACTTATCTCCTAGCTGAATCAGTCCTTTGGGCCCTGGGAATGTGCAAACCATGTTTACTCTGAAGAAGAATTTGTTCTATTTGTAGAAGTCTTTTCCATTTGTTTTGTTGTGCCCATGAAATGCCCCTCAAAGAAATCCAGAAACACGTCTGAAGTTTCAAGAGCGTTTATTGTTTAATTTTTCCACGTGTGGAGGCTCTTTCACCTTCCTCAGAAAGGTGATGAAGGGAAAAAGCCTTGAGTTTTCCCTCTCACTTGCTTTTATAGCTTTTTCTTGGGTGCCCCTGCTAAGGCAAAGAGATTGGTGGGCCAGGGGGTCAGTCGTTTGGTCAGCTTTTGATGGGCTGGTTACTTTGCCCGCCTTTACTCTTTTTGTGTCACGTAGACACTAGTTAATTCTTTACTTTTTCAAGGACAGACTGGGTTTTACCCGGGGCACTCGTGTTTGCCCTAAGCCTAGAATTTTTATGGCCCGCTTCTGCCTCCAGCACTAATGGGGGTTTATAAAAAAATGGGGTTTCTGCTGCCCCTTCAGTTTTATAGTAAATGGATATGATTTACGGAGGATAGGTCTTCTCAAGCCCATTTTACAAGCAAGAAAGTGACCTTTCCTAATTGCTTGGTCTTTTTAAAACTCAACTTTTGTAAATTGGTTTTTATTGGGAAACAGCTGGGTAGGCCCTTCTCCCAGGACGTCCACTCGAATCTTCCCCCAGGGCCTTTTTGCTTTTTCCTTTTTCTTGGTGTTTGTTGCTGACAGAGGCCTCAGACCCGCTGCTGCCTGGCGCCCCTTGAAGGGCTGCTCCCTTCTCTCTAGGACACGGGCTGAAGCTTCTTCAGCATCTTCTGTTTCCTCCGTGGGGAAGATGTCTTCCTCCAGGGACATTTGTGCTTACAGTTGTCCCTCAAAATCACTATTAGCCGACTTCTTGGCAAGAGATTTTTTTTATCTTGGCTTTGGGGAGAGTAGAGCTGGTGTGATCTTCCATTCCATTCTCCCTTGGAGCCTCCTGGGGCTTTTTCTTTTTCTTCTTTTTGGGTTTCTCACCTGTCTTCTCACATTTCTGATCCCCAGGAGGACTATTGGGTTTTTATAATTTTAATATTTAAATTTGATTTAATTTTTCATTCCTTTGCTTAGAAAGCTCAGGACACATTGTGTTTCACACTGCTCTTTATTCACTCTGTGTTTCCTACAATCATGCATCGTGTTTCATAAAATCAATCACCATTGCCCCTGGCCCATCATTTCCCTGTCTTTTCACCCGGATCCTCCCTTTTCCTTGTCCCCTCCATCCACCGATCAGACTGTGCAATCCTGTGGTTGCGCCCCTACCGATCCTCACCTCCCCGATCCCACCCCTCTGCCCCCATTGAGTTCCCATACATGTTTTAATAGTTATCCTTCTATTTTTACAGTAATGTTCTGATGCGGTATTTCTGAAGACTTAGTGCAGGTGCAGTGAGTCCTCTGACTCCCTGTCACTGCTGCTTCTCCTGTTTCTCTTGCTTCTCAGTAATCTTAACAGCTTGTTTCACCTGCAATAATCATATCTCCCTTCACGATGTCCAAGTGTTTTCATGACAGCTCTCCAGTCTCATTGGAGGACAGCTGTTCCTTGACTTGCTCTCAAAGCTCTGCCCCTATTATAGCCCTCTTAGACACCTCTCCCATTTTCTGGAACCCGTCTTAGGGTGGCATGACTCCACCCCTTCATGCCAACCCGTAGCTCTCAGAGGCAGAGGTGAAGCATCTGATATTACTTGACCTGGAAGCTTGGTCCCTTTTGCTGGACCCTAGGAATCACTCAGACATTAGGACTGACCCTTAGTTACTTGATCTTTGTTGTTACAGGACAGAGGCAGAAGAACTACGTGAAGCTCTGAACAGGGTTTGCAAAGACAAGGCCATGGAAGACGAAGATGTGTCTCAAAAAGAACGGCAGGTTGTGGACACGTTTGTTAATGAGTTTCCTGAAATAAAAGAGAAACTTGAGAACTGTATAAGGGAACTTGAGGCCCTTGAGGAGAATTCTGAGACGACGTGCAGGGTCTTTACCATTACCAATGTGGTGACCGATTCTGTGAGCATCTTCTCTGGTCTTCTGACCATCGCTTCATTGCTTCTGGCACCTGTGACAGCAGGGGCCAGTCTGGGGCTCATGGCAGCTGGGGCGGGGCTGGGAGCAGCAGCCACAGCCACAAGTATTACCTCATCCATTGTGGATGCCACCATGAGTCAGTCAACATTAGACAGAGCTCAAGAGACTTTATCAAATGCTAGTCTGAATGTTCTGCGTGCTTTGGAGCAGATCCTCGAAGAATACGCTGTAGACTTTTATTTCTGCGTCAAAGATGCAATAACCAGTTGGAAGAACTTCAGGGCCCTCAGACTGGTCCGACGCAATGCTAGACTGGCAGCCAATGCCAGGCATTTCTCAGCCAGTGGAAGCCGCTTGGCCCAGGATAGTTTGGAAGCACAGAGAACCTTAAGAGGATCTGTCCTATCAATGACTAGGAGTGCCCGCATCAAGGGCATGGCCAGCACAGGTTTCTTCCTTCTGCTTGATGTGGCCAGCCTTGTGAATGAATCAATGGCCTTGTATGAGGGGACAAAGTCAGAGTCAGCTGAAGAAATAGGCAAGATGATTGCGAAGGGAAAGAGGATGCTGAGGGGTCTCACTGAAATCTATGAGAACTTGCAGCGTTGGACACAGTGAGTGTCTCAGTGGGGCCTGGAGCAGGCGGGCTGCCACTAGAGGGAGGGATTTTATGATGAAGTCTATGTATCTGATTTTTAAGGAATTTGGCATTTCTGTAGCTTAGCTTGGCAAGAGAAGGGTTAATGCAGAAGTCAACTTGTTGTTGTTGTTGTTGTTGTTGTTATGTGCCATCGAGTCGCCTGTGACTCATAGCAACTCTGTGTACAACAGCCCTAAACTCTGCTCTGTCCTGTGCCAATCTCATTGTCTCCGACACACTCATCCTGATTACCCCAGTCACCACATCAATCCACCTCCTAGAGGGCCTTCCCCTCCTGTGCTGTCCCTCCACCCTCCCAAGCATGATATCCTTCTCCAAGGACCAGTCTCTCCTTACAACGTGACCAAAGTATGTCAGACGAAGCCTCAGAATCATTGCCTCCAAGGAGCAGCCCAGTTTAAACCTCTCCAGACGGAATCTGTTTCTT